GTCTGTCTTTTAGCAGTCAATGCGATAATTGAAACTCAGATTTTTCAAATATAAGTTGATAATACTGAACTAAAAAAAAGAGTGTTTCGTTGTATGTCTGTGGTTTGTGTGCACGTCTGTATCAAGTCTCTTAAAAATCTGATGAATGGTTCTTGAGATACCCACGGAAAAGCTATAATTGATTATTTATGCAAATCAGGTCATGAATATGCATATATTCAAGCCGTAAACCATGTCTGTGTATCTATGCGTGTATCAATGACAGTCTTTGGTTGAAATAAAACGCATTTCATGGAATCTGGCTTACATGTACAAATGTGATTTTGGGTTCATGTGCACTTCTAAATTAATACCGTGTTTGATCAATTTAAATACATGTAGTAGTGCATATTCTTATGTAAATGACAAGAGGTATGTCTATGGCCAAAATAAAACTATTTCGATCATCTAGCATACAGTAAAAGTCTTTTTGGTCTTAGTGATGTGCTTCTAATAAAGCAAACACCATACATTGATTGAAAATACTTTTGGTTGTTGTATCTTCTTAACAAAATATTCAAAACTCAGAAGAAGTTCAATCCCGACAGGATTAAGTGAAAGATATTCTGCAAATATCATCTATTCTGATGGTGTTACCATGCCAACATCAAATTTGAAAGTGACTTGATGGTGATAGTGGTGAAAGAATGGTGAAATAATAAACGACTTGTCTCTCTTTCAATCAGAACTAGATGAGAACTCGAGCTCACATTTTGTTTTCGCACAAAATGTATTGAAATCATTGCTATAAACAGAAAAACTACAGCGGATTTTAAGTTCAGTTCTCTGAGTACGTGCAGTAGTGATTTACTGTGTAGTGCTTAAAGCATCAGAGTAGTCGAGCACATTTGAATATTGTGTAAACAACGCATTTCGTAACTGGTGCGAGAACATTGATGCTTTATTTTTTTATTAGCTGGGTGGTTCCGTAGCTGTATCAGAGGAGTAATGGGAATACTCGTCCAAATATGTTCCAGATTCATGTACATTTATGCATACTGTAAAATACTTTATTTTAGCTGCAATTAATTTTCGTTGAAAACATTTTTTGGGTGTTTTGTATGGAATTTATTTTCACTGATTTTTGGCGAGTTGAATGTAAAATGTAGGAAAAAAGGTATATTCGCTGGATTTTATTTTTACTGAATCATTACCTCAGCGAAAATTAGTTCCAAGCAAAAATAAAGTATTTTACAGTACGTGGCATTTGCAGTTTACTTCAAATAACCAAATGTTTGTTGTTAAAATAATGTTAATATTTCAAGATAAATCCTACTATTTTTATCAAGACATAATTTCAATCAAAATTAAGTAAACATTCTCAATAAATACTATAAAAATAGTTTTAGGATTAACTGATTCTTAATTATTATACCTTCTTATGAGATTATACCTTATTCTAAATTAGCGACATTAGCTGAATTAGGTAAAATAATGTTAGCTAAAAAGATGCATTTCACAGTACTCAAAAAAAAATTAACCACTTCTCAAAAAAAAAATTTTAAAAATACCAAAACATTTTAAGTCGGGTTTTTCTACTTCAAGACTAGTTCATGCAGCAAAGTTTTCCGCTTTGAGCAATCGATATTTTTTTTTTAACTCAGACTTTTGTTTGTTTAGTTGTAATTCAATTATCTCGCTAGACAGGAGTTACAAGTAATATAAACGAAAGATGTGAGACAAGATAAGTGACATTGTTTGCATTTTTAATCTAATTAATTGCTGTGAAAAACAACTGATGGGTTGTAATGGAGTCATTAGTTTCCATAAGACATTGACAGCCTTGTGTGTGCTTGTCACTAGATGGCGCTGTTCATCACTAGGAAACTGATAGACCCATTATAACTGATTGAAGATGGAAGCTCTCTGCATCTCAATTCGTTGTACGTGATTGTGTGTAGACGTGTCTCGTAACGTTTTTATTCTAAAAGCAAAGTAATTTCTCCCTCGTTAGGTTCGTTCATCCATCGCTACTTCTGAGCGTGGGAGTATTATTACGTTTAATAAAAAAAAAGCACTTTTTTTTTTACATAACCTTGAAAACTACAATGATGATATTTTGGCATTTACAGTAAATTAAAGCTGTTTTTGTTAGTTAGTTCAGATTCTTATTTCAGCCCTTCTTCAAGAGCTTTTCAGCTTACATAGTATCCAAGCAACCTACAGAAGAGCTATGTATTAAATGTTTTTAGTTACAATTTACTATTCCGAAGCTTGTTTCAATGATACATGTATGTACATACCCATCTCATCATGAATTCACCATTTCGGAGACAAGAAATTACAGCGACAGATATTTTCGCTGATCCAGTTCAATACGACCCCTTTAATAAATATGATAAATGTTAACTACTTAATCTTGTTAAAAAAGGCAGGGTACTTAACGAACAAAATTATAAGGTGAAAAGTGTAAAATCAATATAAAGAAACAAACGTACAAAAAATGCTCAGCCATAGAGAACGTTGCAGTTGCGAATGTACACTTTATATTCACTTGATTGTTAATTTGTTTTTAATTAATTAACAAACTTTATTAGGCTATTAATTAAATTAATCAAAACATTTGTAATTGCTCTAAATTCCAAGCGGATGTGCCTACATGAATGTCTTGGGTGTGCTTTTATGTCGAAGCTATTTTTCGACATTTTTCTTTCTCAAATTTATACGCTTTTATTAAACACAAAAAAATCATGTTTAATGAGAAATTGTTGATGCAAACTGTTCAAACAACATCTAAAAGCCAGAAAAACAATATTTTATGCTGTCATGCTTCTGAGGCAAAGAAAAAACATGTGTTTCCAGAAATATTGGTTTAGCAATTTATTCTATTTTGCTTTATTCTTGTCCTATTAAACTACATATTTACGAGGTTATTTCTCTCGCAATGATTAGTTCTGACTAAAGAAATAATGACCACCAGTTGCAGTTGGTTATTATAGTAGATTTTATACAGTCGCCTACTACTGTAAAAAGGTTAATTATTCACTGAGTTGTAATTTTGCTTATTTGCTGGAAAATGCACTAAATTAAAACCCAGCGAATATGTAAAATTTAGCATAAAACACATTATCTAAATGATAAATCTGTGAATTTAAAACACACTGAATATGCCTGAAATGATAAATCAGCAAAATTTCAACCCAATAAAAATTAGTCATTTTACATATTTTTGCATACAATAAAAGCATCGCTTAAAAAAAGTAGGAAATGTAATTTTTTGCCCCCCCCCTATTGGAGCTGTAATAAACCTTGTTTTCTGCTTATGTGAACTTAAAAAGGTGCACTTCTAATACTTCAAAAATGATATTTTGTATTGATGGTGACTTACTCATTTTTTCTTCTTCCCAGCATGCATTTGTCATTGACATCGGTTACAAGAACTTGCAGTTTTTTCTTAGAATACACGTATGAATTATTCAAAATCAGTTTGGTTTGATACTGGAATCCTGTGAATCGAGCTGCAGGGACAGTGTTTTTGTGTACTCAATCCATACTACACAATACACTTAAAGATGTAGCCAGCAACACAGGGCACCTTGCGAATAGAGATTAAGATATAGATTTACCACAGCTGGCTGCCAGCGGCTACAAGAGAGACTAAAATTTTCTTTTGCAAAAAAAGAAATTAAAATCATATCACACTGGTTTGTATTGCTTTAATTCTAAGGCTTGCCCCATGCTGCTGAAAGGTTGAATTTCTGAGGTGAGAAATGAACTCTGATTGATGGAAGGCACAATTTGTTCTTTAATGATACTTTACGCCTTTAGTTCAAATAGCGGTGGTCGTCGCGCCGAGTTCTGTTCAATATGGATCTCATAGCTTGTTTACAAGGATGCTGCTTTTTTTGTTGTCATGGTAACAATTTAATTTTCCATGATTTTATTTTTACACTTGCCAAGTGTTGTTTTTGATCTATTGAGATCAGCAACTTCAGCACAAATTTAGCCCAAGACTAAGTGATAGAAGAAAAACAATAATTGGTACATCTTTTCTTCTATTCCCCTCCCCAAGGTTTGTATGGCTCCTCTTTAGTCTGTTTTCATGTATGAAGTACTTTAGAGCAATACCTGCTATTATTATTGTTGATATTGCATTGTAAATAAAGCCATCAACACTTTTACAATTCCCTGTGGAGCTGGACAACTAAATGTCTTCTGAAACAGTAAAATGCTGTCACATTTCTTTAAAAGTAAGCAGTAAAGCACAGTCAAGCGTATGAAATCTACTCAAGTTCAAAATCCTTTCTCCAGTTTATTACAGGGTTTTATCCCTACTTCAATTAAGTGTGACACTTTGAATAAAACCCCCAGGCTTTTTTGTTGTTGTGCGTTTATTTTGCTTCTATGATAGTAATAACTTACTGTGGATGACTTTTTTTGGGTACATGTATTTAATGTGGAAACTACTGTGGATGACTTTATATTAGTGTTTAATGTGGAAATTACTGTGGGTGTTTTTATATTAGTGTTTAATGTAGAAACTACCGGGTTGGATTACAAGTTGATATTTGCATGGCTTCCATGTGAATGAGTGTCAAGACAATCGCTTTAAATGACTCTGTGACATTCAAGCCTTGTATTAGGAAAATATCATGAAAAATGTGTCTTCAGTTCCTATTTAATGTTGAATCAGTGTTCAATATGGGTACTTGAAATCCTTGAAGATTTTCCCAGGCTTCTGACTTTTCTTGCCATAGAGCCAACTTGGCTTCCTTACGTGTATAATTGTAAGCTGTTTTAATTTCACAAGAGACAAAACTGGGATCATTCATATTCAAATATTTTTTTTTTAGTTGCTCCGCTGGGAATATGTGTTCTTGTAAAATTCATGTGAATAATAACAATATCGTGAAAATCATTTTGCACAATACTTTATTTTCAGTGTTGTTTTCACATGCAGTGGAATTAATTTCATGAATGTACTTCTCACTTTTGTTTTCTTTCTTCAATTTTTCACACAGATATTATGGAGATTCCTGAAAATATAAAATTCTGTAAAAAATTACAAGTCTGCGATTTTAGTGGAAACCCAATTTCAAAGTAAGTACAAGTCCGGCTTCACCAGGGTGGAACATATGTTTTGTAGTGTTCACAGGTCAGCATAAAGTTTCAGCTTTTACTGTTCTTAATTTTAAAGAGAAGCCGACCTATTTGACCCATCATTTGAGTGCCAAGTTTTTTCTCCGCTCATATACGAGTAAATTTGTTCAGTTTCTGTAAATTCAATCTTATTTTTGAACCAAACAGACATAATGTTACTTTACTTCCAGCTTTTGATCAAAATTTTAAATTTTTCCAACATTTTTTTGGGAAAAAGAACAGACTATAAATGGAACTGATCTGTGGATGGTGGTGCCTGAAGTTGACTTGGGCTCTCAAAAGGGTTAACCATTTCACCACCAGTTCCCGCTTTTCATCACAAATTCATAAACTAGTCCCACTTATAGTCTGCACTTCCCTTCGGAAGATTGCGACAAGAATAGCCAAATATTTTGAGTAAAAACTGAAAATTGACTCAAATTTTGTCTCTTGGCTCCAAAATTAGGGTTCATTTCCAAAAATATTGAAAAATATGAGAAAAAAGTGCAGACAACTTTGGGTGAGAAAGTCTGGTAGTGAAAAAGTTAAGAGCTGTCTGATCACCAAATGAATGGTGTTTGTTGCGCCAAAACCACAATTGATAGGTTCCTAGTCAAACTAAACAATTTGCATAACTCTAGGATAATGAAGAGTATTACATAAGCTTTACTATGACTGACACCTTACATGCATGACCGATCGCTGACACAAATTTTTTTTTTAATGATTGTCAATATTTAAAATAATTAAAAGAATTTCATCAGGTCCCCGAAATGAACACCCTGTGTCAGATTCGCTTGGACTTATAGTGGAGAATGTATCGTTTTTACATAATTCAACAAAATCACGGCAAGTAGAACATTGTCTCAAATGAAGGCCGTCAGTACTAACAAACTTCCATGCCTTTCTAACAATCTTTTCACGTTTGCTGTTGTCCAGTTTCTTCTTACATATGACCAGACGACAACCTTACGAGATATTCTCTATCGGCTCCACAACTATTTCATTTTTAGTGCGACACTAATGTATAGCTTGACCATCGCCGACGTAGAGAGCCCAGTGATCATACTCGTCATGGTCTGGGTGATCCTTGACACACACGACATCACCTGGGAGCATTTTTTGAGCTTTGTTTCTAAAGAATGGAAACAATTAATTTAATTGCATAATGTAAATAATGTTCCAATGTTGTCATCCACATGTAGATGATATGATAATAACGAATTTATTGCATCCTTAGAAATAATTTCCATTGGTTGACAGAAATAAAATGTGTAATAAAATACAATAGATATAATACTAAAGTAAATGTCAGTTTTATGTGCTGGTTTTAGTTTCTGTGTCACATGGTATTTATCCTGGTGAATATTCCGCAAGTTACCAGATAGTCTGTTTTACTTACTGAAACTTATTTCAAAATTTGCTCATAATTAATTTGCATTGCAGGTACACTGATTTTCTCAAAACATGGCATGTGCATTTTTTTTTTTAATATAAATCATTTCCAAGTTCAAATGATGGTTGAAATGGCCAATCACATGTGGGCAGATGAACACGTTTAGTACCAAACTATAATGATGAAACTATTTGTAATATTCACAATACATATCTGTGAATGCTTTAGTTTGAAGTGTTTCCATTGATTGAGAAAAAAACAGAGACTCTTGGGTACAAGGCATTACCAAAAGTCATTTTAGCCTATGAAAACGTATTTTACTGATTTGAATGTACATGTAACAAAATCATTGCTGCCCAAGTGAAATCAAATGTAATGGTCAAATATTTTTTTTTTTTAATCTATGAAGCCCTCAAGTGTCATTCATCAATAAATATATACATATACCGGTATATATCAATTTTTCAGCTCATGTAACACATTATGTAATTTATGAAACTTTCCATCATGAATAAGCACTCAGTTACGTATTAACAAGGGAACGTGAACTTGTGACTTGTGTATCTCATAATCTTTAACCCCATGATAACTGTTTTCTTGTCTTCACTGCTTTGCAAACACCATTGACACTAGCACTGCACGCTCACTAAATTCAGTTTTCTAATATGCAGGAGTTACAAACCCGTAATTTTCCAATCTATTTTTGGCATATGTACATATCACATATCATTTACATATACAATACAACACAACTGGAAATTCCCATTCTATTTCAAGCGTAGAATGCAATGCAAATAACTAGAAAATATACAAAATATACAAATAACTAGAAAATATATTTTATATAATTTTGTCTTTGAGGATTTGATTTGATTTGATTTGATTTGTTTTTCTGTCAAATGTTTCTGCAGATTTTCTACTCTTAATTCTACTATTTACACGGTAATTTATGCATTTTTCAGGTTACCAGACGGTTTTACGCAGCTCCGTGACCTCACACACCTCTGTTTAAATGACGTCTCCCTCACAAGGTTACCACCCGATATAGGAAGGTCAGTTGAATATAGTATGAGGTTATTACGAGGATACTTCAATAATACAACATTTTGCTATGTCAATTGTAATTATTTTCAGCATGACATTCAAAAACGGTCTAACATCACTTTTTGGCTTCGTAGATGTAGCTGCATTACATATGAAAATACAGGGTTGCTAATTGTGCTAAACTTCTATTGGGTTGCAGGTGAACGTCATTTTAATTTTGTTCATCCTGGATTTTGGTTGCACATTACATTTTGTGTGTGATTCAACTAAATATGCTCAGTCCATTACAGTATGTTGCTAGTAACAATTGATCACATGACAGTACTATTTATAGAAATGTACATCCACACTTCTGAACTGCTTGTAGTGTTGGAATTTGACATTAAATACAGAACAGGGAACTGTATTCTCAACGGGGACTTATGTTTTGACCCTTGTGCGTCCGTGCTTCTGTGCGTCTTTGTATCTTAGAATCATGGACGAATCATGATCAAACTTCACACGTACATCATACATGATATTATACATATGCACATCAATTTGTTTCACGATCTGATTCAAGATGGCTGAATGGCGGCCATTTTTGTGCTAAAAAATCATCATAATCAAGCATTTCACTGCTGTTTACAGATGGATTTTATTCAAACTTGGTATATACATTAGACATTATAGGACCTTGATGCAAACAATTTTATTTTTCAGATCGGATTCAAAATGGCTGACTGGCGGCCATTTTGTTTTAATGAATGAACTTCTAGACCCATATCTCTGACTTGCTTTGACTGATTATGTTCAAATTTTTAATATTCATTATACATCATATCATAGATATATTGGTTTGACAACTCTATTCAAAATGGCCGAATGGTGGCCATTTTTGTGCTAAAAAACATCAAATATTAAGCATTTCTGGCATTTATGGATGGATTTCGCTCAAACTTAGTACATACATTACACATTACAGGTTCCTGATGCACACCATTTTATTTTTCAGATCGGATTCAAAATGGCTGACTTGCAGCCATTTTGTTTTAATGATTGGGCTTCTAGAGCCATATCTCTGACTTGCTTCGACTGATTATGTTCAAATTTTTAATATTCATTATACACCATGTTATAGATATATACATGTATTCAAAATGGCTGTTTTAATTAATGCTGTTCCAGAGCAATATCTCCCAATATGGACAAGTACTTGTTTGACGATCAGATACAAATGTCAATCATTTTAATGTTAAACAATCATCATAATCATATTCCTGACATGTTTATATTCCAGCTATATTACTATAAACAAAACTATATATCTTAAATAAATTTGATAACTAACGGGGACTGTGCCATGCATGGCTTGTTTCTATTTATCTTGTTTACAAATTTATGTGGATTTATTTTGTGAAAGGAAAAAGTTGACTTCAGCATTTATTCGATTAATCAACTGCATTATATATGAGGATTTGGAATTTATGTTTTTTCTTAGGAAAATAAATATAAATATATAATTATTTTTTGACTGACATTAATGCATTTTATTTTATTTTTTTTCTCCAGTTTATCTAATTTAATTACTTTAGAATTACGAGAAAATCTGTTGAAATTTTTGCCAACTTCGCTGTCATTCCTGGTAAAGCTGGAACAGTTAGATTTAGGAAGCAATGAACTTGAAGAATTGCCGGAAACATTAGGTGCTCTGCCCAATTTAATGGAACTATGGCTGGATTGCAATGAATTAACAGAACTGCCAGCAGTAAGTATATCTTGAATCGCTTGTGGTGATTGGTTAAAATTGCAGTCACATGACAACTTCTGGCTCTTCTGTTATCAACATGATGATTGGCTAAAATTAAAGTCACCAATTATACAGATACCAGTTATACCAAGTATATTAATAACCTGGTATACTGATAACCAGTTTTACCAGGTATACTGTTATCCAGTTGTACCAAA